GCTTTCACAGCCAGAGTTCATTAGTTGTTGTAGATTTTCCGGGCTGTATGGCTGTGGTCTTGGCATTGTGTCTTGCATCCTCAGAGGCAGGGGTCATTTCCTGCAGGAGTGCACAGGAGCGGAGCTCCGGCAGTAAAGAGGGGGCGGGCACATGCAACAAGCCCCGCCCCCTGCTCCCAGCAGCCCCAGGCCACGAGGAGCAAGAAGCAGATAGGCAAGTTGCAGTGGGTGTTGCCTTCTGACACACTTCCGGTGATGTCAGGGTGTGTGGCATATGCAAATAAATTATGCTAATGAGTTATGCTAATGAGCTCCTGCACCTCTTTTTCTATGAAATGACCCCTGCTCAGAGGTATAACACAGAAAGAGGGATACAGAGAGTACTCCTTCTTTCTGTGTTATACCTCTGAGGATGCCAGTCACAGCTGCTGGCGAAACGTCCGGTCCTACAATGCCAAGACCACAGCCATACAGCCCAGAAAATCTACAACAACCAATATCATAGTTGTTTTTTGTTTACTTACAACCTCCAGGGGGTGACTGGAGATCTCCTAGGATTACAGCTGATCGGCAGGCAAGAGATATCAATTTCCCTGGAGAAAATGGCTGTTTTGGAACATGGACTCTGTGGCATTATACCCCACTGAAGTCTCTCACCTTCTCAAACCCTGCCCTCCCCAGACACCACTACCCAAATCTCCAAGAATTTCCTAACCAGCAGTTGGCAACCCTATTCTTTAGGGTGCTACTGGACTCCTGTTTTATTCTGCTGCTGCAGAACAACAGGGCTATCCAACTAGTGTTAGCATTACAAAGAGGTCTTTGGCTTTTTTGTGGTCACTTTCTTAAGTCGGTTTTGTTTATTTTAGAAATGCTTCCCGACTCATTCGAATGGCGTCAACCTTAAGAGGGCTTTTCTAGAGTTTATCTCCTCTGTGACGCAACCTGATTGCAATGATGCATAGGGTTAAAACACGCACACCATAATTTCCTCCCGCAGAAGAATGTTGTGATTTACTTTCAAGAGCTGAAACTACTTTTGATGGTGGTGGTTGCAAAAAAAAATCTTCAATGACATCAACCGACAGCTGGTTGCTCTAACAGCAGTTTGTGAGAGTGAGTGACAGGATTAGATATTGGGGAAGCAGTTAATTTTGTTTATTTGTATAATTAGTTAATAAATAACTGTGATGCCTTGGCCTTCCCATTCATAAAGGAATCTCAGAGCTGATTATAATGTGGAAAAGAAAGCCAAGAATGGATACGCGTAGAGATGCCTTATGTTGAATCAAACCATCTGAGACAGGGTTATCTGTTCCACATGAGAATGGTGGTTCTTCCGGGTTCTTCCGGGTCTCAGGCAAAGGTTTCTGCCAGCTCTGTTGCCCAGGATCCTTTTAATGAGAGACATTAAGGATTCAACCAGGCACTTTCTACAGACAGAATTTGTGGTAGAGTAAGAGCTTTTGGGAGCCACTGCTGAAGTTATCTGAAGAAAGTGAGCATTGATGCACAAAAGCTCATTTCCTACCTCAAATTTTGTTAGTCTTTAAGGTGCTACTGGACTCATAAGAACATAAGAGATGCCTAGGGTTGCCAAGTCCGACTTACCTTGCCGGCGGGGGACTTCGGGGTGGCTCCCGGCGCACACACGCGCCGCATGCACATCACAGGGAAGTGACGTCATGACGCTGGGCATGCTGGGGGCGGGGCCACGGCCTTGTTTTCCCTTGTATGGCCGTGGCCCCGCCCCAGCGTGCCCAGCGTCATGATGTCACTTCCTTGTGACGTGCACGCTGGGGTGGGGTTCCCCCCGGGGCCCAATTCCCCGGAGTCAGGGAACGGGCCTCTGGGGCGGGGGGATTTCCACCCCCCGGGGGGACTTGGCAGCCCTAGAGATGCCAATGTTGGATCAGGCCAAAGGCCAATCCAGTCCAACACTCTGTATCACACAGTGGCCAGAAATACCAGTGCCATCAGGAGGTCCACCATTGGGGCCAGGACATTAGAAGCCCTCCCACTGTTGACCCCCCCAAGCACCAAGATGACAGAGCATCACTTGCCCCAGAGTCCCTATCTCTTATTCTTTTCTACTGCTACAGGCAGACGAACACGACTACCCATTTCGATCTATCTTCTACAGACAACATGCCATCGAGCCCTGTCCCCGTCACAACACTCAAACCACAACAGTCATTAAATAAAAAGAAATCGCCACCTCTGACTACCAATTAAAATCACCAACAAGCTCTGCTCTCCAGCCGATAGCAGGTTTCTGGTCCTTTAAACCAATATAAAATTGTCCTCCTGAACAACTTGGGAGGCCGCTTGCCTCTGTAAAACTAGAAACTCAATCTGGCAGATTTCCCTCAAGATGATCCTTCCATTACTGTGGAGTCACTACTGGGAAGACTCCGCTCTCCCCAAGTCCCCCCGGGGGGCGGGGAAACCCCGTCCGAGAGGCCAGTTCTCCGCCGGCGGCGGATCGGGCCCCGGGAGGAATCCCACCCCCACGTGCGCATCACCTGGAAGTGACGCGACCACGCTGGGCATGCTGGGGGCGGGGCCACGGTCATCCGAGGGAAAACTCTATGGTTTTCCCTTGGATGGTTGTGGCCCCGCCCCCAGCGTGCCCGGCGTCGTCACATCACTTCTGGGTGACGTGCGTGCGTGCGGTGCGTGCTCCAGCCGCGGTGCGGGAGTCCCCGGTAAGGAGATATTTCGACTTGGCAACCCTCATATGTGGGTTGGCAAATGATGGAGGAAGAACCAGCCAGGCCTGCTCCTGTGCATTTAAAGAGCAGTTTGGCTTATAAAAACCAACAAAGGAAACTTTCCAAAACACCTTATCTGCTAAATCTCAGAGATCCAGATGCTATTAAAGGCATAGGAGTTGGTAGACAAATTCCATACCCTCACAGACTAAGGGTAGAGAGACACCAGGAGTTACAAGCAGTGCACTGGAAGCCAGGATGAGGTATGTAAAACAGTTTCAGGTGGGCAGGTAGCCAGCCACATAGGTCTGCGGTAAAAGGGCAAGATGTGAGTCCGGTAGCACCTTAAAGACCAGCAAGATTTCCAAGGTATAATCTTTCAAGAGTCAAAGCTCTTTAAAGTGCTCCTGGAATTTGGCTCTGTGCTCTCGTTGGCGCCTAACAAAAGTTAGCACCAGCTACAGGAACCTAGGGTTGCCAGGTCTGGGCTGGAAAATACCTGGAGACTTTGTGGGTGGGTCCGAGAGAGGGTGGGGTTTGGGGAGGGGAGGGGCCTCAGCATGTTACAGTGCCACAGAGTCCACCCTTCCAAGCAGCCATTTTCTCCAGGGGAGCTGATCTCTGTCAGCTGGAGATCCGTTGTCAAAGCGAAAGATCTCCAGGCCCCACCTGGAGGCTGGCAACTCTACAGGGACCCTATTTTTTGCCCCCAAAGAGCAAATAGCAGCTCTAACAGGCCATTTTGGGTTAGGAAAAAGCAGCATGGGGTGAGAGGCTTAAGCGATCTCTTCCTCAGTTCTTATCAAACTTAAGAGTCCATGCAGCAGCTATTTAAGGGGGGGGTAAGGAAGCTCTGACTCAGCCTCCCAGTTTAGCCTTCCCTGCTTCTCCTATGAGAACCTCGTGGAGATTTGAATATTAGAACTCTGATCTGTAATCATCTAGCTAAATGCTCCAAAACTAAACCGCGTTGGTCAGGCCACGCCTGGAGTATTGTGTGCAGTTCTGGAGGTTTCACTTCAAAAAGGATGTGGACAGAATAGAGCGGGTGCAGAGAGTGACGAGGATGAACCAAGCCCTATGAGGAAAGGCTGATGGACTTGGGAATGTTTAGTCTGGAGAAGAGGAGGTTGAGGGGGGACAGGATGGCTCTCTTGAAGTCTTTGAAGGGCTGTCACTTAGAGGAGGGCCGGGAGCTGTTCCTGTTGGCAGCAGAGGAGAGGACTCGCAATAATGCCTTTAAATTAAGGGCGGGAAGGTACTGGCTGGATATTTGGGGGAAATTTTTTACAGGAAGAGTTGTGCAATAGTGGAATCAGCTGCCTCGGGAGGTGGTGAGCTCCCCCTCACTGGCAGTCTTCGAGCAGTGGCTGGACCAACACTTGTCAGGGCTGGGCCAGGCTGATCCTGCCTTGAGCAGGGGGTTGGACTAGATCAGTGGTGGCGAACCTATGGCACGGGTGCCAGAGGTGGCACTCAGAGCCCTCTCTGTGGGCACGCGTGCCATCGCCCCAGCCAGGCCCAGACCATCATTAAAGTGTCGAATTCTCTGCCAAATAATTTTAAGTAAATGAAAGCATTTGGGATTGCTTTCCTTACTTTGTTTGGATCATCTTAAGTTAATGTATGAGTTGTTTTCTCTAAAGTAAAACCTCAGTATTCAGGTTAAATTGCCATGTTGGCACTTTGCGATAAATAAGTGGGTTTTGGGTCGCAGTTTGGGCACTCGGTCTCTAAAAGGTTCGCCATCACTGGACTAGATGGACTGTGTGGCCCCTTCCAACTCGATGATTCTAGGATTCTATAAACACTGTGGCCTCCTGAAACTCACCTTCGAGTGAGGCTTTTGTTCTGCTTTTCTGGGTTTCTCTGCCTGATCTTGAAGTCTGTGTCCTGCTGGTACAGCTGTAAAGGGGGGGGGGAAGGTGTCAGATTAACGTTGCAATTTGGAACAACACTTATTTTTATTTTATGTTCACCTTAACTCTGTCCTTAGGAAGACAAAATCCTCCCAAACTACCAGCCCATCCATTTTGGGAAGTTACAGCCTAAAAGCCTTGCTTTGTGTGAGAACAAATAAAACAAAGCCAGAAAACTAACAAGCGGCCTCTGCTAAGCCTCTCACGTGCTTGATTGCCAGAGATTTATGAGGCCCGGACACTTAGAAGGCCTGGACACCTCAGACGCTCCTGACAAAACTTGCTAATTTGACCCTGGCGCCTCTCCCGGCTTCCTTTGTTTGCTTGCCTTGATCTTACATGAATATGCCTTTTTATTGCTTTGTAGACAAGAGAGCAAGAAAAAGCTGGCCGGCCTCTTTGGTTTAGAACCAGGACAGGAGAGAGACGTCACCTCAGACAAGATACTCCAGTATATTCCCGGAAAGGCAAGTATTGCCACAGATCCTAGGGGGGTGGGTGGGTTGTGAGGTGGCTGACTTATTATTAATAATATATGCTCTGCTAATGCCATGCTGCAGTCTTGTTTGTTTTTCGCGTCCTCTTTGTGAGATCAGTCACTATTATCCCTATTTTACCTCAGACAAAACTGAGTCTGAGAGATTGAGAGCCGATTTAGAGTCCAGGGGCACCTTTAAGACCAACAAAGGTTTATTCAAGGTAGGACCTTTCGTGTGTGAAGCACACTTTCCCAAATACATTGGAATGGCAGATGAGGTTCTAAACTTATAGACACTGTATTTGAAAAAGCGTGCTTTGCACATGAAAGCTCATACCTTGAATGAACCTTTGTTGGTCTTAAAGGTGCCACTGGACTCTAAATTCATTCTACTGCTTCAGACCAACACGGCTGACTACCTGGATCTATCTTCATGAGAGATGGAGACTTAACAAAGGCAACTGGCAGTGTTTGGCTGAGTGGATGTAGTTTGAAGCCACAAAAACTCTCCCTAAGTCTAAAGCCACAGTTGCTGGTACAAATTGGTTTTACTGCACCTTAGACTCACAGGTTTGTGGCATAATCTTTTGTGCCACCATAAGTGCCTAGGGAGGTGGTGAGCCCCCCCTCCCTGGCAGTCTTTAAGCAGCGGCTGGACAAACCCTTGTCAGGGATGCTCTAGGCTGATCCTGCATTGAGCAGGCGGTTGGAATAGGTGGCCTGTGTGGCCCCTTCCAGTTCTGTGGTCCTATGATTATAAGTCTGTGAAACTTCCAAGTTACCAAAAGGCTGCTTTCTTTCTTCTTTTCTTTTATGGCGACATAGTAATGTGGTTACTCTACTGGTCTAAGCTATTAAACTCTCATGCCATACTCAAAGGTCCATCAGTGGCTATTAGCCACAAGGCATAGATGGAACACTATGTCTGAGGCAGTGATGCTCTGTATTCTTGGTGCTTGAGGGGCAAGAGTGGGAGGGCTTCTGGAGTTCGGGCCTTGCGGGTGGACCTCCTGATGGCCCCTGAGTGTTGGACTGGCTGGATCATTGGCCTGATCCAATATGGCTTACGTTCTTATGTCTGGGGCAGTGATGTTCTGTATTCTTGATGTTTGGGGGGCAACAGTGGGAGGGCTTCTGGAGTTCTGGCCCCACTGGTGGGCCTCCTGATGGCACCTGGGTTTTGGCCACTTTGTGATACAGAGTGTTGGACTGGGTGGGCCATTGGCCTGATCCAATATGGCTTCTCTTATATGAATTCTGGGGAAAGGGGGGCCTGAAACTTTGGGGACTGGGGTGATCTTGGAGCAGCTAGATTTGAGTCTAGTAGCACCTTAGAGGTCAACAAGATTTTCGGAGTATAATATATATATTTTGGGGCGATCTTGAGTGAATCATGTCTTGCTTTCAACCTAACCTAATTCATGGGTTGTTTGGGAAGACAAAGTCTGCCAGCCAGATCACCTTGGGGAATATAAAGAATAGGAATGAATGATTGAGATATCTCAAGTGGAGACTGCTGCCTCATTGAACTACAATTTTCAGAGGCTTTGGGGAAGTAAGTTTGCCAACCTCCAGGCAGGGCCTGGAGATCTCACAGAATCAGAACTCATCTTCAGGCAACAGAGATCAGTTCCACTAGAGAAAATGGCTTCTTTGGAAGCTGGACTCTATGGAATTATATCCCACTCAGGTCCCACTCCTCCCCAAACCCTTCCCTCCCCAAGCTTCACCCCCAAAGTCTCCATGTATTTCCCAACCCAGAACTGAGAACCCTGTGGGAAACAATGCCATGATTACACTTCTGCCCAGGGCTATTTTTGTGCAGGAACGCACAGGAACGGAGTTCCGGCTGGATCCCGAGTTGGCCACGCCCAGCAGGAACTCATTAGCATAACAGGCCACACCCAACAGCAGAAACTCATTAGGATTGTCTACATTAGGGGTGTGTGGCCTAACATGCAAAGGAGTTCCTGCTCCAAAAAAAAGCCCTGGGTTTTGACAACAAACAAGGTAAACAGAATAAGAAGGGGAAGGTGGGTGTGGCTGGATGACCACACTTCTGGCAACATGGGGGTGCAGCCTGATGTGCTAATGAGCTGTGATGTCAGGGGTGTGGCCTATTATGCTAATAAGTTCCTGCTGGGCTTTTTCTACAAAAAGAGCCCTGGGCCTATTACAATTAACTTCCAGACCACCAAGATCAGTTCCCCGGGAGAAAATGGCTGCTTTGGAGGGTAGGCTCTATAGCAGGAGTGGCCAAGCTTGCTTAATGTAAGAGCCAATAGAACAAATGTCAGATGTTTGAGAGCAGCGAAACATTAACAACTATATTACACTCACATTTTTATCGGAAAATATGGAAATTTGCTTTTTACTAACATTAAAGTGAGACTGCCAGAAATAGAAACAAAAGGTAAAAACATGATACTGATAATGATATTTATTTGTCCAATGATATTTTTTTTGTTTGCTAATCATATTTATTTGTTTTAAGAGAGAAAGAGAGAGGTGGAAAGAAAGCAACTTTAAATGTGTTCTCCAAACCCCCCCCCCCCAATGCCCCCATGCCAGCCAGCTTGGCTTGGAGAAGGGATTTAAAGAGACAAATGCCTTCTCCAAGTTGGCTGACGGGGGAGGGGCGCTTTGAGGATGCATTTAAAGTTAAAGTTGCTTTCTTTCTCTGCTCCCTCCCCCACACTTCAAGCCTACCCAGGGAGGGGAACACTGGCTGGGGAAGGGAAGGCCGATCGATCGCGTAGGCATGCCTCCCCTTCGCCCTGCCAGGAGCCGCACAATATGTGTGAAAGAGCCACGTGAAGTGTGCAGTTTGGCCACCCCTGCTCTATAGCATTATAGCCTGCTGAGGTCCGGTCCCTCCCCTCCCCTCCCCAAATCGCAACTTCCCCAGGCTCCACCTCCCAAATCTCCAGGCATCCCCCAAACCCAGAGCTGGCAACCCTGTTCAGAAGGGGTATATTCAAGATCTTTCAGTCCTATTTTGGGAGAATTGGAGCGAGTCTTCAGCATTGGTTTCATAGTGAAAGTGCAATGTGTCCATCCGTCAGCCAGTGGACCTGCCACATTCATTGTAAGGACGTGCAAACTGTTAATTACCCGTATCTAAACTACACAGATTAGTCCGCTCACAGCCCGAATTTCTGCAGGAAGAATTCAGAACGGGGACCGAGTCCTCCTAGTTCTCACGCTGCCTTTCTGTGGGTGGAGATGGTGACAGAGCTCTGTCCCCAACCTGTAAGTCAGGAATTCTGGGCACGAAAAGGTGGAGAAGAAGGGTGGTTGGAAAAGGGATCATAGTGCTCTCCCTGTTCTTTGGAAAAGTCAGGAAACTAGTCAGTGGATGAAGCATGGCTGAGTCATTCTTCTCGGGGGTGCAAGGAGAGGTTGCACCCAGTCACTTAGCACCTGGGAAACCCGTAGCCAAACACAGCCCTACCTGAGAATAATTCCTAGAGAGGGCTGTCTGTTCCGTACCATGAAAGAGCTCCTGTATTCTTAAGAGGGGGGAGTTACAGCACAGGGCCACCGTAACTAGGGTTGCCAGTCACCAGGTGGGCCCTGGAGATCTGGCATTACGACTGATTTTGAGATGACAGAGATCAGTTCCTCTAGAGGAAAATGGCTAGGGCTGCCAAATCCCCCCGGGGGGTGAATTTCCCCCCCGCTTTGGAGGCCTGATTTCCGCCGCGGCGGAATCGGGCCCCGGGGGGAACTCCACCCCCCAAAGCTGCATCCCTTCCAGTGACGTTCTGGCGGCGTGCGCGTGCTTTGCGCGTGTGCATCCGCAGTCAGCTCCCGGACCGAGCAAACGCTCCCCCGCCAGTGAGTAAATAAGATTTGGCAACCCTAAAAATGGCTGCTTTGGAGGGTGGACTCAAGGACAGTAATGCCAGGCCTTTTTTCCTGGGGGAACACGCCAGTACGGAGTTCCGGAACCTCTTTGACAGAATTCCTTTTACGATGTTTAAAAGTTCATGAGTTTTCGGTTATACAGACTGAAAACTTCATTCCCCTCTTGAGAGTTCCAGCACCTCTTTTCCCAATAAATAAAAAGCCCTGGGCAGCAGTATACCCTGCTGAGATGCCTCCTCTCCCCATACCCCACCCTCCCCAGGCGCCAAGTCCAAATCGCCAGGAATTTCCTGACCCACCACAACCATTTTAGGAGAACAGGGCCATGGACAGTGTGCACAGCCACAAAGCAAGGCAGGGTCAAATGGGACTTCTGGAAGGGAAAGATTCCCCTCTGCACACACCTTTTCTTCAAATCACTCTAGGCTTGGAGTGTGGGAGACGTTCCTCCCTTGATGTCATGGCACCTTTACGTTTAGTAGGCTGACTGGTTGATCTGTTTCGTTCTATATTCACAAGAAGAAGAAGAGAGGAGATTCGATTCATACCCCGCCCTTCACTACCCGAAGGAGTCTCAGAGTGGCTTACAATCTCCTTTCCCTTCCCCTCCCCACAACAGACACCCTGTGAGCAGTGTTCCCTCTAAGCTGAGATTGTGTGAGCTAGCTCACAGTTTTTTAGCCTCTGGCTCACACATTTTTGTCTCAGCTCAGGAAGGAGGGCTCCAGAGCAAACAAATGTATGCAGGAGCCAAATCGCCTGCTCACAACTTTAATGCCAGTAGCTCGCAAAATAGAATTTTTGCTCACAAGACTCCACTGCTTAGAGGGAAGCTGTGAGCAGTGTTCCCTCCAAGCTGAGTTAGTGTCAGCTAGCTCACAGTTTTTTAGCCTCCGGCTCACACACTTTTGTCTTGGCTCAGGAAGGATGGCTCCAGAGCAAACTAATTTATGCAGTAGCCAAATTGCTCACCCACAACTTTAATGCCAGTCGCTCACAAAGTTGAATTTTTGTTCACAATGCTCCACAGCTTAGAGGGAGCATTGCCTGTGAGGTCGGTGGGGCCGAGAGAGCTCTTTCAAGGACTGCTCTTGAGAGAACAGCTCTGAGAGAGCCATG